GGTGTACACAGACTTTTGCTGTTAAGTGTAGCTTAACTAAATATTATGGTTGACATAATGTTACCATTAATGTTACCAATAACGTGTTTTTTGGAAATATTTTAGCAGTTGCCCCATAAACTAGAGAAGTACATATTAAATAAACAGTTTACCATTAGTTTTAGGGGCTGAGAAAATCGAAAAAATATAGTATAGTACATTTGTGCATCTGTTGCCAGCTTTCGCATGGACAGGATGAGTAACATTGATGACAGCGCAACTAGCAACATATGAGTTTCAACCGCCCAGCCCTGCATCCCTTTTGCAGTAGTTCAGAGACAGTTATGAAATTCGTAGGGCGGAATTAGCGCTTTGCCACACTGTCTCTAAATTCTGCTGCAGGGACAGATACGCGGGTAGGAGGTTTTACTTGTTCGGGAACCCGGGTAGTGGGCTAGGGGGTAATCATGATCCGGGTAGTGAATAGCGCAACCTTCGCTTTCATATCAAATAAATTGATTGAGAAGAATTTTTATTTNGGACAGATACGCGGGTAGGAGGTTTTACTTGTTCGGGAACCCGGGTAGTGGGCTAGGGGGTAATCATGATCCGGGTAGTGAATAGCGCAACCTTCGCTTTCATATCAAATAAATTGATTGAGAAGAATTTTTATTTCCCCATCAGTACCTAAAGGTTTCTCACTGAGAGCAACCAGTAAAGCATTGTTAAAAACGTTTCNTCCCATCAGTAAAGGTTTCTCACTGAGAGCAACCAGTAAAGCATTGTTAAAAACGTTTCGGTTAATCTAAGACTGCGGCCATAGGTATTATTATGCGAGCATTTGAATTGGTTAATAGTTTTCTTCGATCTCTGAAATAAATACATTGGGCACGTAAAAACTTCATACACTCAGCGAAGCTGGTGGGGGGCAAACTAGTACTAAAATTAAAATAAAATTTATTCTAAAATGACTGGAAAGACTTTTACTTTAACAAAATCTCTCAAAACTGNCGGTTAATCTAAGACTGCGGCCATAGGTATTATTATGCGAGCATTTGAATTGGTTAATAGTTTTCTTCGATCTCTGAAATAAATACATTGGGCACGTAAAAACTTCATACACTCAGCGAAGCTGGTGGGGGGCAAACTAGTACTAAAATTAAAATAAAATTTATTCTAAAATGACTGGAAAGACTTTTACTTTAACAAAATCTCTCAAAACTGATTCGCATTGTTGGTTTGGCTATACAAATCCTTTACAAACCACAAATACTACAAACTTACCTCAATGATAAATTTAACATCGTTGAAGTTTTTCAAAGACAATGCCATTATTGCTAAATTCTCTGGTGAGCCGAGCATCTGCGGTATAATACTCCTTTCGTTTAAGCGATTAAAGTCGCGACGAGACTTCAGTTCATCCACTGGATTGCGCTCAGCGTCTTCTGCTGTAGTGACACTACTAATCATTATATTTACATTGCTCGGATTCTGTTCACACACTTGAAATGAAGGACGTGCCATCCCGGCCGCACCACTAATTGTGGCGCGTCGTTTCTTTCTTGCTGCTTTGCGCCGTGACAAACTAGCATAATTGCTGCGGTCACGACTGTCATCATCGCTGGAGGATTTTTCTACGGCATCTTCATGCACATGCACCAGTTGCAGCAATTCTTCGGGCTCTAGTCTGTACTTCTGCTGTATATTTGCCAATGTAAAGGATTTGTCAAATTTTTCCAATACAGAATATTTCCATAATGCCTCAGTGATTACATCAACGATTCGTTGAAAGCGAATTTGTACCCGTTCTGAGGCAAGCTTGTAATCTTCTGAATGTATTTTTTTCGTTATAAAATTTCGCAGAAAACCAAATATAACACGTAGTGCACTCCCACAACAAATAAAACCATGACGGCCGCTGGCAGCGGAAACTGATGTTGAACGGATCGATGCTGTATGTGTTTCCATGGCAGCTTCAGCCGTATTGCTAGTGTCGCTTGAGTATGCAGAGTGGCTACGATTTGCACGATATGTAGAGAAACATGCATTAGAAGACTTTCTTAAATGCTCCCAGCGCAGAAATATCAGTTGGAAAATATCCTCGATAAGTGCGCACAACATATCTACGTTAAGAATTTTGCGCAGCATCCCGTTTAACTGCTGAATCTTACGGTCGTAATATTTGTCCAAATCATAATTTTCGCCGGGTAGCATTATTTCACACACAGTGGATAATGCTGTATAATAATTCAATGTCTCCATTTCAAGTTCATAAAGACATTTCATATTTGTAAGCTTCATTTGCCATTTACGTGTGGTCTCCAACAAGCGCC